GACTGACCTTTACCTAACAGTGTCATGGTCTTTGTGGCGAGTAGGGTCGAGTCACAGAAGAACACACACTTTACTGAAAGAAAATGAGTACTGGGGTGGAAGAAGAGACTCTGGCAACACTGCCATCCTGACTCTCACCACCACACACAACTTTCCTGCTCTGTTTTTAGCAAACCCAAGACAGGGCTAGAAGAGAAAGACAGTATCAGAAACAGTGGGCAGGGTCTGCAACACCGAGGAGTAAAAAACAGAACAGTCCTAGCCCTCAACCCCAATTTATTTATTGCATGCTTTGAAGGCCTTATAAACACAAGTACTGGGGGTTATTTTGTGGTGAAACTTCAAAGGAGATTTGCTAGGTGTTTTTCCCATGCTTTCCTCCCAGGTAAGTATTCCAAAATGAATGCTTCTCCATGCAGGGAGGGAGCCTCCATAAGCAATTGGTGGCGAGAGCTATTCCTCGGGGATAAATATTCTAATTTGACGCCTTCTGCACTTTGTCCTTTGAAGCATTCCCCTCTGCCAGGGAAGAATTGCACAGTTTTCCCACATCAGACTGCAATTCGCACTGTTCATAGTGATAACTTAGGCACCACTATTAGTCCTTGGTTATTAAGAGCAAATTCCACAAAGAGCACCTGTTCACGCGCACAGCATCCCCACTGGTTAGCAGAGAAGAGAAATGTCAGTTGCAGACAAAAAAAGGGCCCAATTTCCACTCTCCCCCCAGCATCCAACAATCTCGTTGCCAGTTGGTTTTCCATCCAGTCATTTATAATGAACAACATTGGTACTGTGATCCCAATTAAACATTTGCACCTCCATTCCAAGATGGACAATATTGCTGATGGGTCAAATCAGAGCAGTCTGTGGAATGGGCATGCCTATTACACCAAAGACATATTGTCTAGAAAAGAGGGTCTGAAAGTCATTTCAATTGGAAGAGCATTGCAATACTTCCACAGCTCCCTTTGTTCCAATACATAAATCAGGGAATTGGAGAAGTTACGGGTTAGGAGTCTAAACACACAAAATTACTGGGGTGTTTTAATTTGGATAGCAAATGAGAGAGAAAAAGGATGACTGGGACAATGATGCTGAGTGTAGATGACAGAGCATCATTGCTTTAACTGTCCTATTACAAATGCAGCTAGGCTTCCTGATCTGAATGTGTTCATGAGCATTTTGCTAGCAGTTCCCCACGGAAATACTGATACTGATAGAGTCTTAAAACTAATAGAGAAAAACCATTCAGTTCAGATTTGCTAGTCTGCAAGCCAAGGGTACATTAAGCCCATTACTATAATGTAAAATTAACTTATTTATGGAAAAATATAAGTACTCCTTAAAGTGAAGAAACTGCTCTCTGCAGAAACTCTCTCTGGAGGCAGCAGAAGTGATATTAAGGGGGGAAAAAAATGACAAACCTCTATGAAGCTGCCAATTAATTCACCTCAGTTCCTGGAACTTCACACAGCAGTGTCACTAAAGAGCACAGGGAGATGTGGGATGATTTATTGTTGCCTTGTACACCCGGAGATGCAAGGTGAGCTAGGAACTAACACCAAGGTCTCCTCCTGTATTTTTTCATTGCTCCTGCTCTGTGTATATTTACCAGGCACTGTTCTGAGAAAAACTGCAGTCATAAGAGCTTTTTGCTGTTTGTTAGGGTTTGATCCTGCCCACATTAACCTGAAAGGGGATTTTTTGTCATGAATTCCAACAGAAGCAAAAGCAGCTTTGCAAAGGTTAATCGTTACAGAGAGAAGGAAGAAAAACAAGGAACGACATTCCTCTATAAAAATAGAAGTACCAGTGTTTGGAGCTGATCCTGCAATCCTTCACTCACATGCCTCTGCTCACACAACTGGTCTCCTGAGACAGAAGTTTCTAAACCATTTAAGTAACCTGGGGGCCTAAGTCTCATGGGATTTAGGTACTTTTGAAAAGTCTACCTATTTCTTCAGTGGGGCTATATGCCTGTGAGCAAGGATTTGCAGGATTTTAAGGGACCCATTTAGTAACTGCTTAACTTCAAACTCAGGATTAATCCAAGCTCTGTCCGACAAATATTCATAGGCTTGGTTTTTAATCACGTTTAAATTTCACTAAGGCCAATGGGACTTTGATGACCTGGCACCAAGGATGTCCTAAAAAGTAATGCACTCTTCACGAACAAAATCTTTTACAAGCAGCATATTTCTTTTTTTGCTGTACAGGAGAACTATTCACACTCTTAAGACACTAGTGCAGCATTTAACCTGTATGCTACAAAATAGATCCAATTTAAAAACAGGGCCTTTTACATAAAGCCTTTTACTTACATTTTAATAAAGGGAAGAATAGCTCCCTCTCACTGACTGCTGCTCAATATCCTGCTGGAATATGAGAAAGTCTCTCTCTAAATCATTTGTGCTGAAAAATGGATTTAACATTGCTATTATACACAGAAATCTCAGTCTGCTGTTCCCTCTGGAATATGCTCACCAACGAGATGTTATAGCTCATTTCTCCTCTGGGCTCAACAAAGTCCAAAAGAATAAAAAAATTGAAGTGATTTCTCAGGCTCAAAAAAAGGAGCTCAAAAAGCAGTGTTCTTCTCTGCTCCTTCTGAGTTAGCATGCCCTGATTTCTCTCTCACAAGATAAAGCCTGTTCTTTCACATCAGAACAAGGAAGGGACAGTTAACACAATTGGTACCTTCGAAGTGGAGATGGAACGGACACTTGGAGAACAGTATAAAAAAATAGAATATAACCTTATAATTTTATCCCAAGCGTGTCTCAACCCTTTTGAGCCAAAGGGGTGTTTAACTAAAAGCACTCAACGTGCCTTGTGTCAGACGCTGCCCTGCACTACTCATGCACACACCACAGCACGTGGAAGTAAGGACCCTCTAAGGGGTAGAAGTAAGAGAGCTACCTGGACCTTGGGGACAGAGGTACACAGGAACCAAATGCTCCCTTACTTCCCTGCTGGAGCGGGTAGACAGGAAAGGGTCAAAGCCTCAGCTGAAGGCATCTTCCAACACAACAGTCAACAGCAGTCTTGAACTAGTGCAGTTTGCTGAAGGTGCAGCATGGCAGCAAATTTTGATAAGCGTGAAGCCGGGGATGGGCTGCGATTCAGAAGGGAGAGAAGCATCTGACATCAGTATTCTCCTGGGTTGATGCAACTAGCACCTCTTGCTCAAGGCATGCCACACAGGCACAACCTAGTCCTTAGACAGTAAGCACCTCTTGACAAATGGTTACGGTCAATGAATCACGTGCCTGTTACCAACCTGATAAAAGCTGTATTTGTGCCTCCTGAAGTAACAGCAGCAGACTTCCACTGTCCACTGAATCCCCCCCAGTCACCAGCAAGAACATCTGGCAGCAAACTTACTGTTAACCACGGCTCTTCCTCCATCTAAGAGCGGGTGGAAACTCTCCCACTAATGAGACTGTTCTTTGACAGGCTCTATCTACAGGATCCTGCTGGTAATTTTGCATAACTAATATGTTTCCCCGCTCAGCAGGGTTGTTATTTTATTTAAAA